AGCGGATTGGGAGGGTTTTTGTGTCTGTCTTGTCTCCTGATCGTGTCCCGGTTCTTCTCTGCAGAGCCCTCAGGGTTTTGGCTTGGAAATCGGAGGGGATCAGTTTTATTCCAATAAGCCTGGCTACAAGGAGTAGAACAGTTTAAAGTCCTGCTGAAATGCTGGTACAACGTCTTGTCTCTGTTTCCCTCAACCACTGAGCCTGCCTGTTTGTATCAGTGTGTATCTGTCTGGGCACGCTTCTGGTCTCTTAACCAGCCGTAATGATCTGTGGATTCCTGGAAACCTGTTTCCTTCTGTTCCTGTTTGGGTCGGAACTGCTGATCAGTTGTTGGGTCCTGGATTCCTGGACTTTTCTGTTTTCCCCTGACCTGGACCGGCCTCCTGCATGTTCTCCGGGGCTGCACCGTCTGGAACACTCTGGGCAACGCACGCCACATCTTGTTGGCAGCCCATCGGCTGGATCGCACCCCTTTCCAAGGAGATGGACTGAACTGTGAAACCAGGTAAGTGACTCACTCATGTTATCATCTCCTGTCAGATGATCGTGGTCACTTACTTGTGTTTCTCCCTCCAGAGAGTCAGAGATGGGTTGCGCCCCGCTCCCCTTCAGCTGCTGTGGTCTTTAGCCCCACAGTTTTGTTTCAGTTTTCTTTATTTAAATAAATATTTTTGAACATTCCTACTGGCTGTCTCACCTTAAATACTGGGTCCATCTGTCCCGTTTATGACAGCAATAAGGTGATGATTTTGCTGGAGGTTTCCTTCTGTTTAAAGGGAGTTTTTCCTCTCGACTGTCGCTACAAGCATGCTTAGTGTGAGGGATTGCTGAAGAGTCAATGAGTCGATGTAATCAGCTGGTTTTCCTTAGATAGAAAACTGAATCAATTTGCCTGGATGATCTGGTGAACTGGAAAGTGACCTGAGATGACATGTGGTTTGAATTGGCGCCGTATTAATAAACTGAACTGAATTGAATTGATTTTCCTGCTAGGCAGCAAAACATTTGAAAACAAACATCTCTGCAGTGGAATTTATACCGAGTATACATTTATACAGAGTGATCTGGTTGGATGGGCTGGATTCCCTGACTCTGTGCTTTCTTCACTTTTCTTGATAACTTCTCTTCACTTGTTTCTTCACCCGTTGCACTTTCAGTGGCCTCCTTCCCCGGTGACCCTCCTGGTCTCCCTATCATGACTCTTCAGTATATATTATGTATTTTTTGGTTAATCTTTGCTGAATTGGAAGAATGCAAAATGACTTTGAACAAACAAGGGATTAGCAACAAGAAGAAAAAAAGTAAAAGTATTTTTAGCAGGAGAGTAAAAGATGCGTTGTCTCTACATGCTCATCTAGGAGGATTGAATTTTAAAAGTCAGTCACTCATTGCAATCAGTTGGGTTTCCTTAGATGGGAGACCTGTAGCCAATCTGTCTGGATGGTCAGACTGAGTTGACTAGAGATTACATTGTGTGATTTTGTGCAATAAAAAAAAAAAAGATTCAATGAAATAAGACAGAAAAGGATTTTAAACTGAGAAACACACATTGCTCCTTTTCAAAACTAAAGCTGACATTCTATATCCAAGTCAGGTCACTGTTTGGGACGACATAAGTTATATCATGCTATACGATTTTCTTTTCTAGAAATAAATTTGATCAATGTCCTTTGGGCTTTCTGCCTTGTTCTACTCCAGCTTTGCCCATTAACAGCTTCCTCTCTCTGTCGGCCTGTGCAGGATAGTCTTGTTGCATGTGTGAGTCTCTTCCCAGTGATCTGTGCTCTCCCTGCTTTCAGGGTGTCTTTATTCCAGTGCTTTTGTGCACCACCTGCCTTCCTGTTTTTCTATGCTGACCCCGCCCTCACTGGGTTCTTATCAACCTCTGTTTATGGTCCGGACCTGGACTTCCTCTGTCTGCCACGGGCCTTTTAAGCGTTCAGCCAGGCATACACTGTAATATTTTTTTCCCTTTTTGGGCAAATTCTCCAATCGTACAAGAATTTTTTTTGATTGGACCGAGTGTCAGTCTGATTGTGCGCTGCTGAAGGTTGATCAGCCTCTAACGACCACCATCCGATCAGGAATCGTAAGGTCGGGAGAAAATCAAACATGTTTGAAAGTCAGTCAGCCGTCGTGAGGTGTTGGTGGGTAAATCCTGCTGTTGAAGCAGAGCTATGAGTCGATTTACCAGAACCCTGAGCACTGCGCATGTGCAAACAAGGGACTTCTTATTCCAGATTGACGAGTCCAACCAGCTCCATCTCTCAGCGCTGAGTCCGACGTGGTTTTTAGACATACAGTGTGAGCAGGTAGATCGCATCAGAGCGTCACAGAGTGAGAACAAACATGGTGACCTGTGAACTTTTAAACCCTGCGGTTTCATAGTACAGTTTGAGCTGTAGCTGCGTGCAACGATTGAAAATATTGCACAGTGTAAGTAAGTAAAATTTATTTGTATACCACTTTTCACAGATAAATATCACAGAGTGCTTCACAGTAAATATGTGATACAATAAAACTATGTAGGATACAATATATATCAACATTTTAAAAACAAATGGAAACATACAAACAAAGCCATGAAATCCACACGTTTAATTAAAAGCCTGCTTGAATGGCAGCATCTTCAGTTGCTTTTAAAAAGATTCAACAGAACTCATACAGCGTAAAGAAGGAGGCAAAGCCTTCCATTCCTCCTGAAATGAACGATCCCCTCTGGTTTTAGTGTATGCCCAGCTTTAAAGAAAAGTTTTTTTTTTTAACCTTAATGAATTAAGTTAATGCTGAATTATAATTATGGATGAAATTAGGGGAATTCCATGTCGTGAATCTTTTTATGGCTACATCATTTTTATGTTTTTTTCATTTAAGTCAATTTGACGTTTTGGTTAGACTTTTAAAGCTTTGTTTTAAAAAATATTTTTTTTTCTTTGTTGAATAGAATATCCTGAAATGCACGGAGGTAATAAGCCATCAGTATGGCCAGGAGATAAACAGAGAGTGTTCAGCTAATGATCGGTCTTTAGTAGAGGATTGGCTTTAAGTTAAACGGGATGAAAAAAAACAAACAAGGAATCATCTAAACTCATGATATTTGACTTTTACAGTTTTAAATTCAAATGAAAATATTTGATTAATCCCAAAAGCAAATTGAGTAAATTACATTTATTTATTTGATAGATTAATCAAATATTTAATTCATAAATGAATTAAAAATATAAATGAACTCAACTATTCAATAAATTAAGCCATGTGAATAAGCTCTGTGTTTTTCCCATGTGGCCGGCTGGTTTGGAGCTTTTTCAGTTTAATGCATCAATTTATCATTTAAAACTGATGTAAAATTTCATTTAGTACCAGAGTCTGGAAAATGTCTCTTCTACATGATCAGTTAAAAATATTTAATCTGAAAACATAAAAAACTATTCTAAAGGTAAAAACTGGTTACCAGTACACACAGCCAGATAGATAGATAGATAGATAGATAGATAGATAGATAGATAGATAGATAGATAGATAGATAGATAGATAGATAGATGATAGATAGATAGATAGATAGATAGATAGATAGATAGATAGATAGATAGATAGATAGATAGATGATAGATAGATAGATAGATAGATAGATAGATAGATGATAGATAGATAGATAGATAGATAGATAGATGATAGATAGATAGATAGATAGATAGATGATAGATAGATAGATAGATAGATAGATAGATAGATGATAGATAGATAGATAGATAGATAGATAGATAGATAGATCATAGCATCAGAGAAGGTTTGACTTGCTCCATAGCAACAGATGTTCTTTGAAGTCTGAAACGATGGAGACTCTTAGAGTAAAATAAAAACATGCAGAGCACCAGAGCAGCCACTTATTCCAACAGATAAAAGAATGTGAGATAGAAAAACAGCAAAGAAAAGAAAACAGAAGGGAAAGCAGCAGCAGCAGAAAAAAATGACTCTTGGCTCGCTCCTCCTTTTTTCACTCTGCCAGTTCCTCTGCACATGTTGGCTGCTTGGCTTTATCCCTGTTAATGTCCTCCAAGCAGTGTAAACACTTCATTATCTGACAGTCGGCCAGAAGGCTTTTGCATGACTGCCTTTTAAATCCCTTTAACTTAAAGCCCTTTATTAAATCTGAAGAAAGCACATAGAGTTTAACCTTCATTTTCTATTATCAATACTTCACGCATCAATCTAGAACTGATTTAAAGGCAAATGCAAAGCCGTGCTGCGGTGGTGGGGAAGTTGGACGTCCACATGCCTGTTCAGGAACCCATCTGGTGCCACATGGTCAAGTTATAACCATGTTTTACAAATTCCTTCTTTTCTGTTTTCATGAGAAAAAAACAAACAGAAAAATTCTTCCTGATTCAAAAATGAATTCTGAGGAATTTAAAGTTAATATTAAAGGTAAAATAAAAGCTTTAATACCGCATTTAATGCTGATTCATGGCTTGTAGTCACCTCTGGTGGAGAACAAATCCCTGCACTAGGACCCGGGGGGGTTTAAATGTACTTTTAATACAACTATTCTATATTTATGCACATTAATTAAGTTTTTGATAAAAATCCTTTTGCTAAAATGTCAGAATGCTTGTAATATTAAACTGCAAATATGTTGCTATAGCAGCAAAACATTTGAAAACAAACCATGAGAAGAGCAGTGTTGCAATCTTAGCGCTTCTGTTGCTATATTTAGTGACTTTTCAGGCCTCTCTATTTCTTTTATGTCAAAAAAGCGCCAAGCGCCAAATCTAGCAACTTTTTTCTGCTACTGGAGACTTTAGAGACAACATCTAAAAGCAGCGAACTCTGCTCTCCAGAGCGAGTAGATTGGTAACCCCGCCTCCTGCTCTCCTCTATCTTGTCTGCTGTCATGATTCATGCAGCTATTATTTCATCCAAATGAAAAATGGAGAACAGATAAGCAGATCATGGCTTGTCTACAGTGAAAAGAAGGACTGGGTTATTTACTTTGGCCTTTTTGGAAACACAGGAAGGAGCAATCAGCTAAGTGAGCTTAGTGCTTGGAAAAAATCTTTCATTTGTCAACAATGGGTGTTGAGGTTGCAGAGATAAGTGAAGCTGAGATAAGTTCCGACTGATTTAATTGGCCAACTAAGGCAAAAATCCAAATTGTGACAACCTGCTTGTTGCACAGAGCTGGCTGCACCGTTATTCATAAATCCTCCTGCTTCTTCACAGCTCAAGACACGCCTTCTTTACGCCCATTGAACACATGCACTTACCTGATTGGTCCGCTGTTCAATCTGACTCCTAGCTCCAGTTTGAAAATGTCAGTGTCTCAGCAGACAGCGTAACAGAAACAGCTGCTGCTATTACTTCTGCATATTCCGTTCTGTCGACCAGTAACAAAGTCAGTCCGAGGCCGTTTAATCCCTCGTGCTTTCAGTATTTTGCCTCTGTTCTGGATCCCACCGATCATTAACAAAAAAAGAGAAAAACAAACAACTCCTTTCTGTGCTCCTGCCGTGCCGACGTGTCATCACAATTACCCGGAAGCCGGTGACGTTACAGTTAAAGATCCTCCGTAAGTGCTACACTTACTGAAAATATAAAATCAAATTAATCATTTTGCCCCTTTACAAAAAATAAAATAATTTTTAAATATATTCATCTAGTGAAACCAACAACAGAAAACTTGATCCAGTTCCTGCCTCTAAGCAAGATTTGTTTCTCATCTGACCTGTAAGTCCATTCTATGTATGTTTGTTTGTTGTGCTTTTTATGCAATTGTAGGACTTTTGTTGTGTAAAGGCTCTTATGTTTTTTCTCTCTTGTTTATTCACAGCTCTTGCTGTGGGGCAATTTATATTGGAGCCATTCTAACTTGGATTATAATGGACATTTATTTTTTGGAGAAGAATTGTGTGATTTTCTTTTTGAAATACAAGGACTGTTAAGCCTAATTTTTTGTTGTCTATTTGTGAAGAGTTTTCATTCTTTATTTGTAAGGGTCTACACCAGTGGCGGCTGGTGAAAAATATTTTTGGTGGGGCTGATATAGCCTAGTGTATGTCTCCAACTAATCCGGAATAAGAATTCAAATAAACAATTGGACAATACATACAATTTAACAGTAATGATTTAATTTACTATATAATAACAGTAACAGTGATGATTTGGGTCACTGTGACGGGGTTCTTTGGCCTCCAAGAATCCAGTCTCAGTCGGGTTACCGGTGTTGGTGATTTATTGAGCTCAAAAACTCAAAACAGGGTGCAAAAGAAACTAAACATGTACAAGATACTCTGGGCCTCAGCCTCCCTCCAGTTACCAGCAATGTAACAAAGAAACAGAAAACAAAAATTGCCGCTTTTCTTCCCACAGCCCTCATTAAATAGTTTAAGCCCCTCACATAAGGCTCTCTTATTTCTGATTTCTTCTCATTAATCAGTTTTGTCCATATATTACCTCCACAAACAATTGATGTAAAACAAAACAAATAATTTTTACAACTTAATTCTTTTACACAGATTCATTGACTTATTCAATTACACCAAACTGGGTTTGAACCCAGCAAAGACGCAGCCAGACTGAAGATGACAAGTCCCCGTAGCATAAACAAGTACACACCCACACCCCCCACACACCCACACGCACACACACACACACACACACACACACACACACACACACACACACACACACACACACACACACACACACACACACACACACACACACACACACACACACACACACACACACACACACACACACACACACACGGCTAACCCCACTGAAATATTAAGTGTGCACCCTCAATACGCCAGCAGGTAACCAGGAACAGCTTGTGTGTTTTAAGTTCATGGAGCTACTGGGCTCAGCGCGAGTGTATTGGTCCTCACAAACACAGTATAACAGGAATGTGTGTGTGGTGCGCAAAGTTAGAGAGGTTGTTTTAAGCGACGAGGTGGATTCGTCACAGTCACAATAACCATGACATGAAATGTTCATATCCTACAACAGGGATATTCTTCTGGCAAACGGGTAGATAAATAAGGATCTCACCGAATTTGGTGGAAGCTGCATCTCGGTCGTTACATTCGCCATCTTCCGTCTAACTGTCTGCACCTGCGCTTGGGTTCAGAAGCCTGTTAAAGCGCAGTATTTTCAGCGCCCCAATACCATAAAGTTCCGAGACGCTGATTGGCCATTAAATTCACCTAGCAATAGTACATGATTGACAGATTCTCTGCAAATGTGGGTCAGTCTGATCAGCGCCCCCAGAACAGAGACGGTAGGAGTCTGTCTGTGGAAATCCACAAATTAATGACAGTAGATAGGGAAATGTAGTTTATATAATTTGTTTTGCTTATAGGTACACAGTCTAGAGAGTAAAACTGACATTTATGAGTTAATTTCTAAAAATATATTTTACGTTTCTCTCTTCTTATCAGGGAGGGCGGTGCCCCAGCGCCCCCTATGGGCCGGCCGCCACTGGTCTACACACAAAAGTGTATGGTCCTTCTGTGACTGGTTTGAAAATATATAAATATTTATCCTACTTGTTAGAAGGGATACCTGACTGGCACCGCTAAAAAGTGACAAATACCCTGTTAAAAAAAAACTAAAACTAAAATAATTAACCTTGTAAAAACCGTCACAAAATCTATCTGTAGAATGGGTCTGTTTTATGTGTTTTATGTGTTGTCTTTTCAATTCAGAGGGCCCCCTGCCTGTCTTTGCCTAGGGCCCCAAATTTCCTTAATCCGCCCCTGACTAGGTCACCACTGTTTTTTTTATTATCAAACCTTCAACATTATTTGAATTCTTCAATTAACATTAAAACCTGCATATAATTAAGGTCCCTTTTGCAATTTCTCTAACTTCCACATGAACAAGTTGCTACAGATTAAACATGGGATAATATTTGCTGCTTCTCTCAGGATGGAGCGCTCCAAGGCCGACTTAAAGATGTTTATAAGGAGACATTAACGGTGTTCTGTTAGTTTGACTCGCGAGGTTGTCTGATAAATTGTCTGGTCCTGCAGTATAATTCATAAACAACAAGCCAGAGGTTTTTAAAGCAGTACTCTGTGAAGTGAGTGATGAAGCCTCTTCAAGGTTATGCTGTCTCCCATCCACCCCCACGTCTCTGTCTCCGTCCTACTTGACTACTGAGTAATGGAGTTAAGGGAGGCGACGTCTCAACATGAGGACTCTTGCTCTGTTAGAAAACCGACTTGATTGCTTTAATCCAGATGAAAGCATGATATTTCAGCAGCCTAAATTTAAACACTGAAAGGGATTTGTGTATTTCCAAAAGCCAGCTGTCAAAAGTTCAGGAGAAATTTGTTCCTGAAGTGATAATGTTATTAAATAGTGTATAGAGTGGCAAATATATGCAATTAAATGTAATAATTACGACAACTGTGTAATTATTTGTATCAAGAGCTCTTATACAAGCTATTTGTATGATTAAATGTATGTTTTGTCAATTTGTTTTCCGTGGTATAGAATTGTTTTTACATTTATTTTCTGTTTGCCTTAGAGGGAATCTCTCACTTCATCGCATGGTTTTGTAGGAATTCATCAGCAGGTAACAAAATGAGCAAATCCCTACAACTAGAGCAATAAATATTGTGTTCAGTCAGATTAATGATGAATGATTCATGCTGCTTTATTCTTATGTTTTTCATTTATTGTCAGTTGGGCCATAATGTCAATTTTATGCAGCAACTTTCCCATCATGTTCACTATAAACAAAGCTGCTCCTTTATGCAGATCATCACCAATGAAGGATCAGAATGATTGATTATATCTCTTTCTATAATATAATTAATATCCACCTCATTTCCGGAAATTCTAGCCTATTTTGCATACCCAAATGGAAAAGCAAATAACTTACAAATTACATGTGCAATACCTTATTTGAAAGCTAACTCTAGTTTCTGAATAAAATAAGATAAAATTTTAATAGAATTGGGTGAGTAGAACACAGACCAAGCTGCATCAGTTCAAACATGACTCAAAGTTATTTTTTTTATTCTTGGAAATGATAGGTCTTTTTTGAACAGCAGTAATAAAGACATTCTTGAGAAAATGCAGGTCTCATTGTTTTACATTTGTTCTACATCATGTCAACCACAAATGCAGAAAATCTTAGACCTCTAGCTACAACAGTTCCAGAACTATGGGGTTTTGAACTGGGTGTTTCTCTCTAACACAAGCCTGTGATGCTGTACCCCTTTAAATACCCCCCGCACACGTAGGCTTGTTTGACACCTTATTTCATTGGCTACAAAACCCAATGCCCAACAGCAGAGAATTATGACATTATGCGTCATTTGCATACAGGAAGTGGACCAGAATTGAGATTTTGGGGACTATATCTTGCTCAAATCACGTCATAAAAATATGCAGACACTGTTTTGTAGTCAAGAAGACGATGTAAAGAACCATACCAAACATTGCAAGCTAACAACCGAGGAAATAAGTATTTGGAAGTAAATATTAGCAAGATGATGAGATTACCAGAGTTCACATTCCCGTTCTCTGAGGCCACTTGTTTTAGAGGGTTTTTTGTCTTCTCTTGGTGTTTCCTGATCATGTCCTGGCTCTTATCCACTGAGTGTGTTCTTTTCCTGCTTTGGCTCAGTGGAGGGAACCAATTTGTCATGTTTGGTTTCAGGTTCCTAACCCAAACGCAGAACACTCAAGAGACTGGGAAAAAGTTCAAAGGTTTATTAAAGAGTTTGTACAATAAACAGGTCAGGGGGGGTAACAGATCCAAGACTGGTCACGACTGGGTTCACTGCAGAGGGGGACAGAGGAGTAAGCAGATGTCCAGGTAATTTGCAGGGTGTGAAGGTGCAGGTCTGTACCTGTTCTGGAGTTTGAGCAGAGCGGCAGAGAGGGGGAACCAGGAGGGTCCAGAGGCAGTCGACAGGCTGAGGGCTTGGTGGAGGCAGAGCTTGTTTTGAGTGCTAGCAGATCTCAGGTTTGAGTTTCCCTTCCAGATTCTTCTGAGAGCGGGCAGGCAGGTCCTTGACAGGTTTGATTCTCCAGGGTTCTTCAGAGATCAGACAGACAGATTTCCAACAAAGAATCCCTTCAGGGTTTCTGGTTTCAGATAGGTTCAACCTGGGAAGCAGAGAAGACAAAACAGATTAGGTTCAGGTTCAGGTTTTCAGGGAGTCAAAGATTCAGACAGGCAGATTGGCTCAGGCTTGCTAACCATAACTGGGAAACACTCTGGCGCTGGAGTGATGTCCTCTGCCTCCTTATATACTGGTCTCCTGATGAGCAAATGGGCAACAGGTGGTGGCAGGTGAGCACAAGCCCTCAGGAAGGGATCCTTGGCGCCCTCTAGTGGGCAAACCTCCGGATCCCAACACAATTTCAAGTTCTGTAGTTTTCCTGGTGTCTTGTCCTGATCTGCCTGTTTGCTCTCCCTTAATTGGTTATTTCTTTCACCTGCCCTTTTCCCTCCCTGCCTCAATTATCATTTATTCCTCTCACCTGTTTGCTTTGGTTTATATTCTGTTCAGCCTGAGCATTCGGGGCCAGATCATTAGATGTTGTTTTCTGTTCAGTTCTGTTTGTTTATATGGTTCATGTCCTGGATCCTAGCAGCCAGTGGAAGGAGGGTTTTGTGTTTGTCTCGTCTCCTGCTCGTCCGCTGTTCCTTCCCTGCTGAGCCCTCTGGGTTTTTGGATCTGTACGCGGGGAGGTTCAGTTTTTGTCCCAGTTAGCCTGGCTCCATGGTGAAGACCAGCTTAAAGGTCCTGCATCATGTTCTGGTTCCACGTCCTGTCTCTGCTACCCTCTGCCACTGAGCCTGCTCATTTGCACCTGATCCTGTCTGCTCCTGTGAGTGACCGCCTAGTCACGCTTCTGGACTCAGTCAGACTCTGAACCTG